GGGGGGGGGGGGGGGGGTATATATATTATACTGCAGTTTTTAAAGAGGGATACATTTAGGAAAAATGTTCGTTCTTTTAGAGTTTATTCATGGGAAGATTTTGAAAATTGTTGTACGTTCACGTTTAGGATCTTTGTATGCACATCTTTATAAATGAGGCCTAGGTCTGATAATGGTTTATATAATATGCCTTTTCTTGCTCAGGAAATGAAAGTAACTTTTAAAAAAGCAGTGTTAAAGATAATGTCATAAATTGAGCTAATATTTTCCTCAAATCTTGTGACTGGATATGAAAGGATTCTTTGCAATCCTTCTGATTCTTAAGATGATGAAATTCTGGGCATAATTTACTCATCCTCATATTGTTCCAAACTTGAGGCCACGTTCTTCTGTTGAACACAAAAGTTTGAAAAATGTCTCAGTATTATTTGTTTTCCATATACTGAAAGTCAGTACGGTCCAATGTTGTTTTGAACCCCATTTTCACTGTATGGATGAAAAAAGTCCATACAGGAAAAAAGTTTGGAAGTAAATGAAAATTCTGCCATGATTTATTCACTCTCATTTTTTGTGTAAACTTCCACTTTAAACATCTCAATTAAATTAGACACAAGTTTCCTACATGATTGATTCATTTTTACATTTGTAAGAGGATCAAATTTGCCATTCAAACTCTGCCCAGTGCATTAACATGTTCCTTTACGATAACAGAACAAGACTTTATGTAAATGTCACAGCAGTATCTCCTCATCTTACTTTCTCCATACCGAGGCCTGCGAAATCTGAGACGTCACAGTCAGAGAGCCCTAAATGTTATTCCTAACAATCTTTTAGAAAAAACTCTGCCTGTAAGTTTTCTTCATGGTAATAAGAGAAGCCCTGACATGGTTATCTAAGTTATCAGCATCTCCCGCCTGCGGCTGAATCAGCATGGACACATTGTTCCACTTCAAAGCTGCGGCGAGTGGGCACTGAAAGAAAGAGAGGGGGTCTTGGAGAGAACAGGTGCAGTCTTTGGGAGGGGGAGAGTCCCTTCTGCCATCTGTTGACTTCTAGTTTTCCCCCAAACACACTTCATCACAATTCACACACGCCTGCTTGGTCATAGTGATCCAGGTTGCTATGGTGCTATATGGGAGGGATAAGACCCCCACATAAGTGCGGTCAACTCTATTGTGTTTTGAGACATGCAAACATTTGGGGGGCGGGGTGCACGTGTGCGCAGACTGAAATAGGGGTGGATGAGGCAAAAGACCAGTTGCTTTGTCAGATGTGGAGGAGACGCTGAGGTGCCTGTAAAGGGTTCTCCTTGGGAAGTTTGGTTTTACATAATCGCACGGCCACAAGCCACTATTTGGAAGGCAAATTTACTTAGTGGTTGCTGGACTGGAAAGCATTAGTAAATGGAGAGCGCTTGATATCAAACAACGGATTTCAGTCTTTTCTCTTCCCTATCAACAGGTCACATCTGCAGACTGAACTCGGATATTGTTGAAAACTGCAGAATAACTAAAATAAACATGGATTTTAAGGAGGAGGTCAGTGACTCTGATAGCGGGATCATTTTGAACTCTGGTGAGTGCTTTTATTTTGTTTTATTTATGTTAATGATAAACAATTATTATTAAGAAGAGAGCAGAACGCATATCAACTTGTAAAAATTTGAAATCAAAATTTGGTGCTGTAGTTCCCCCCAAAGAACACATTTCTGTCAGTATAATGTTTAATGAACATATTAGTTTTCCAGCTTTATTTTATTCAATTGCATTTAAAAAAATTTTTAATGTTGTTAACAGATAATATAAAGAACTACTCAAAGTCTAATTTTAGTGCTACAGTTCAGTGTGTTAGGGCAGGCCAGCTGCTAACACGATATATGTGTGTGCTGTTGTGTAATGGAACTGTTGTGTTATCCAGGCCCAGACAGTCCCACGTCTCCAGTAAAGGACCTGAGCACTCACACACGTGCCATGAGGCTGAAGCAGCAGGCCCTTGAGGACAGACTGGAGCTTTGTGTCCTGGAGCTAAAGAAACTCTGCATTAGGGAGGCTGTGAGTGACAAAAAATGAGCCATCAGTATTGCCATCTATGTTAAATTCATTAAATATAATGTATATATAATTTTAAGCATTGGGCTTATATTTACATGTAAATCAAACCATCACAAATATTCAGAATCTGCTTGAAAAACTGTCAGGCAATATGATATTTCCCATTCATTTTCTCCATAGAAATTTCATAAACGTCTTCAATGAAAATTTTTAAGCCATGAACCCAAAAAAAAAAAAAAAAAAAAAAAACCCCCCGCTTCAGGATAACTCAGTAAAACCCTTGATTTTCATTTGAAAAGACAAAATTAACCAGGGTCTGCCAACACTTTGGGACCATAAAAGGGTTTCTTGGTTCAGAGAAGTTTAACCGTGGTCTAATTAACTAATGAAGCATAATGACTTCTAATCATGCTAAACAATTATACTAGAAGATTCTCTTTGTTTGATCAAATATAAAGTAAAACAGTAATATTGTGAAATTATTTTTTTTATTTTAATATATTTTAAAATGTAATTTATTTCTGTGATGGCAAAGCTGAATTTTCAGCAGCCATTACTACAGTCTTCAGTGTCACATGATCCTTCAAAATTATTCTAATATGTTGATTTGCAGATCAAGAAACATTTATTTGAAAAAAAAACAGCATTTATTTGAAATAGAAATTCTCCGTAAAATTATAAATGTCTTTACTGTCAATTTAATGGATCCTTGCTGAATAAAAGTATTAATTTCTTTTAAAAAAAAAAGTAGTTTGTGTTACATGCAAATTTAATGAAGCATAAATTACTTTGTACACACAATGTGTCATAGTTTTAATAGGAAAGTTTCAGTAGGAAAGTCAGCTGGCCCATAAGCATAGATCAGATTGCTCTGATTAGGCTGGGCTTTTTCTTCTTCTGAATACAGCCCTTCAATAGAGGCACTAAAGCCAATGGCCAAGAAACAGATGCTTCTTTGCAAGTTAGCCCACATGTCTGTCATTCACTATTGGCCAAGCAGAGAGAAGATTTAAGGGCCTTAATCATTAGAAACCCCTTTGTGGACACTTCGACAATATAAAGACGAGCATATGCTCGCTCAAAGATTTTGTAGTTTTGTATTGACTAACACACATAAAGGTTGTTTTCTTTGGCGTTGTTTTTCTTTAAGTTTAAAATGCTCTTTGTTTTGACAGGAGCTGACTGGAAAGCTGCCCTCCGATTACCCTCTCCTGCCTGACGAGAAGCCTCCGCAGGTCCGGCGACGCATCGGAACTGCTTTCAAACTGGATGAGGGTTTTATTTCACAAGATGGCGAGGTATAGGCCACACTTTATACACAGAGATTATTTTAATAGCTTTAATGCAACTGACTGTTATTTGAGCCTACCTGGCTAGCTTTAAATGTTATTCATGGTGGCATTATTATCCGTTCCACTTACATGGAAAAATATTTTTTCAAGGTGCACGTAATCCATATTTCAGCATTTTCAGTTTGTAATGATGTGGTTTCCCCCTAAAATGTTTGTCTCCAGGAGTCTGAGCTGCACGCGCTCGAGGCTGATCTCGCTCTGCAGCGGCAGATTTATGAGGCAGCCCGAAAGCTCTCCCTCGAGGAGCACATCAGCAAACTGGTGAGGAAAAGCCGACTGCAGCAGTGTAAACGTGAAGAGAAGAAACTGAAAGAAATGCAGGATACGATACTGAAACACCGCATCAACCACGGCTGTGTCTCTCCACAGACCTGCTATTCTTCCAGGCAGAGAGGTCAGCCACTCGATTCTCATATAATCTACATTTTATAAGACTGTATTATTAAAATTATTTGTTTTGAATGAACAAATAACAATTTTATTTGTTGGTCCATCCAGATCTTTGTATGTCTGATGACAGCTCGATGTCAGACGCTGTTGCCTTGGATGATGGTAAGTGAACGTGTTAAAATAAACATGGAACAAACTTTTGCACCCCATTGTTTGTTAAAATGTAATCTCTAGACTCTAAGAGTTTGCTAATGTCAAAAATTTTTCTTTTATATACAGACTCAGACTCTGCTCACTTTTCTCTGGCCCTTCTGGGGTCTTCCGCGGACAGCGGTTTCCAGTGTTTGACTCTCTTGCCCAATAACGGCCCAAAGCAATCAAGCTCCAGTTCCAGTCTGGACTATGATGCCTCTCCAATCCAGAACTCTGCATGGAAGGAATCCAGCTTGGACCAGCCCTACCAGAAACAAAAACCTTCTCACTCTGCCTGCAGCAGCCGCTCAAGGTATTGTGATGATAGATGTTTAATTGCAATATAAGCAAACCTTTACTCTGTGTTGTCAGAGCTGTTTTAAAGGTACTTGATTGGTACTTGAAAACCATATCTTTTATATTTACTGACACTTTTGATCAAATGAATGCATCCTTGCTGAATAAAATTATATATATATTTTTTTTTTACTAATTGTACGTTAAAAATAAACTTTTTAACGGTAGTGTAATAGGTTACAGGTGTGTGTTTTGGCAGATATCTTGTACACAACCATTACTGAACAGGGGTGCGTTTCCCAAAAGCATCATTAGCTAACTATGGTCGTTAGTTCCATAGAACTCTATTGGTAACGATGGAACTTACGACCATAGTTGCTTTTGGGAAACACACCCCAGATCAGGTTTGATTCTTCTATTTAAAGAACTTTTGTCACACTAATGATCCAATTAGCTAGTTTGAGGTTCAACACTTTAGAACAAAGCACTATAAGAGTATTTTAGATACATTTAGGAGTTTATAATCTTCATATTGTTTTCTTGTCTTTGTGTCAGCAGCAGTCCAACAAGCTCACCAACAGACACAAGAATGGCAGAACTTCCTCCAGCTCCCCAGTTTGTGTTTAAGAGTCTGCCAGTGCGAAACAATCAGCCAAACAGCGCCCCCTCCACCCCAGAGCTGCCACTGCGCCGACAGTTCTCACAGTCCTTCAGGTAATTAATATACACAAGGCAGCAGTGGTACTTCAGGATTGTCTGAACACTGTTCGTCAAATACATGGTTCATATTGATATTAATACGGTCTACTAAAGTGAAATAAGCCATTATATTTTAGGACTTAAAATACATTGCACACAAAAATATTTGGTAAAACAATTGCATTGAACCATTTTTAATTGATACGTTTCAGTTTATTAATGAGCAACATTTGTATTTCTATTCTATCTGCCACCTTGGCAGCAAATTTCTAACCTTACTTATCTCCTCTCAAACAGGCTTCCCAGAAGCAAACCAGAATTGACCAAAGCCAGCTCAGACCTGGGACAGGGGCGGACCAAGTTACCACGTCGACGAGTGACAGATTTTGCACTGGCCTACTCAGTTCAACGTTTATATCAGTGCAGCTCTGAAGACAGCAGCTCCGAGCTTTCCATTTCTTCATATAGCAGTTCCTCCAGCCGAGAGACAACCACCGAAGCACCCAAACCCTGCCCGCCTCCATACGGCTACCACCGCTCCGCTCCAAATAAAGGACCGGGCCAGCTCAACACCCACAGTACACTCAAAAACAACAACAACAACAACAACCCACCTCACCTCATGCCCAAACCCAATCAAGTGAAGATTAGCAATGGGACACCACTTCAGGTGAACATAGGGAGGCTGCAACTCGGACCGAATTCACAATCTGATAGAGAACTTTACATTTCACAAACTATTGTTTTTAATGTGTCAAAAAAAGTGTGCGCGCCATGCATAATTACATTACATATGCATGTATATATATACACACACACATATACAATAAGTAATATAAAATACAATAATTCACCTTAACGCATTCAAATGTGTCCAGGACATTACATTTAAATAATATGAATTCAGACCGTTTAATTGAAAAAATTAAGCTTAATAAATATTGATATGAAGTGTAATTCAACTCAATTTATATTTTTTATCTCAATACAACTATACAGTACAAAGGAATTATTATTACATTTACAAAATATTACAATCAGATTGAATGAAACTCATATACTAAAGTGCCATTTAAAATGGGCATAATATGATTCACAGGGAAATCCTTTTTAATGCAGCCTGCAATGATTTCTTGAGGAAGGTTTCATTGAAAGATAGGCAACTGGAAAGTGTGTGGTGGCGTGCAGGATTCACCTGAAATGTAAAAAAAGAAAAATACTAATTAATCAGCAGTTTTATGTTTATGTATATAAAAAACATTTTAACATCTAGATATTTATTAATCTGTTTATTGGTTACTATCATATGCCTCTGTAAATTGCAAATTGGGTTTTGTAGAACTAAAGATGCTCTGAGGACCATAAAATTCTACTTAATATAAGGTTTTGTTGAGGCGGTTTTTTTTAAACTATCTGAATGAGTTATTTCCAGTCATTACAGTTATACTCACATGTGACTGATACTTAGTCAAGACACTCAGCAACATCTTGGCAAACTTCATAGATTTGCTGAAATGTGGAGACTGGCTGCAAAGCTGATCGGTGAAGAGAGAGAAATCCTTCTCACTCCGCTCAAGCTGAAAGCATAACAACAGAAACCATTAACATGAGACTAAAATATCCTTTAAGATTGGAAAGAGCTTTCTGAAGTACCTTTGAATCCAGCAATGCATGGATGACTGATAACACTCCCTCATCCCAGGACACTCCAAGTATTGCAAGCACATTTCTATTATCAGCTAAACCGTGTCAAATTACTCGAGCACAATTTATTCCATAAATGACTAAGACCCATTTCTTTCTTAAAGCTTAATTGTGATATTCAGACTGACCGGAATACAAGAAGCCTGTGATGTGGCTCAAGGCAGTTCACTACTAGGTTACAGAGTAATTCTGCCTGGGCGCTTCCTAAACAAAAAAATGCAATTACTGTTTACTGAAAAAAGATCTGATATATTAAATATGAATGGTGCATATTTGATATCCAGGTGAAAAAACCTACTCATACCAGTTTGTCCCTTCTGTAAAACTGGCTCTATCAGAGCCTGGCAGGTTGGCCTGGGGTAACGACTGCAAAGAGATATTACGGCTGTTACCAAACAGCGAGAGGCAGGTTCTGCGAGGGACAGAATCTAAGGCAGAGAAATGCATAAATAACCATAAAAGGAGTTAAACACCCATACACACTACAGTTTAAAAGTCTGAGGTTGGTCCGATTCTTGTTTTTACAAAAAGTCACTTATGCTCACTAAGGCTGCATTTATTTGATCACAAATATAGTAAACAAAATAATATTGTGAAATATTATTACAATTTAAAATGACTGTTTTCTATTTTGTTACATCAAATTTATACTTTTGATCTCAAAGCTTTTTTTTTCCTGCAGCCATTACTTCAGTTTTCAGTGCCACACGACCCTTCAGTAATCATTCTAATATGCTGATTTGCAGCTCAAGAAATATTTTTATTATTATCAATAATGCAAAGTGTTGTTGCTTAATATTTTTGTGGAAATTATGATTTACATTTTATCAAGATTTTTTGATTAATAGAAAGTTCAAGTATTTATTACTGTCACTTATGATGAATTTAATAATACTTGCTGAATAAAAATGATTTAATTTCCCAATCCCAAAATTTTGAACAGTAGTATATTGGTTAAAATCATTTTACAATCGTATCCTGTGACAAACATGAATGTACTGTACTAACTTTTGGCAGCAGCAGGTGTGTGATCACAGCACAAGCAGTGCTGTGACTGAGGTCTGGCGACAGTTCCAACAGCCAGCTACAGAACTGAGGTAAACTCTGGTCAGATGCTTCTGACAAACACAGCATTGAACACAATACCTCCACCTGTGATCAGATACAACAAATCCATAGTGATGGAAACATTTCTGATGACAAACCTAAAAAGCAGTACATTTTCAAGTAAAACACCAGAAACCTCATTGGGGTCACATTCATGAAATACTTTCAGAGCAGACCCGGAGCTCTCGTCCCACTGTGAAGGAAAAAATAAATATGTTAAAAAGTTATACAAAAGAAAAGATAAAAGCTATTACATTGGCATAATAAAACAAAGATTTCTTACCGCTGACTCTGTATCTAGTAATTCTTTGATCACGGGAACAGCAGCCTAAAAAGCCAAATGTGAAAATGTAAAAGAAAAAAAAATCTGACAAGAACATGATTCGATCATTTATTTATCCTGAAGAACAGCAACTTTTCTGAGGTTTCTACATGAAGAGATTTTAACAACCTATCTGTGCAACGGTCTGTGAACTTTTACTTGTCAAATTATGGAAAATAGGCTATTTCTGAGCATGAAAAATCAACTTTAATTTAACTGCAGTGAATTCCACTTTACCTTCATGTGGTCTGGCAGATTTTTTGAAGACCCCAACGCATCAGAGCGAGCCTGTGATACAGAAGCAGCACTTTGGTCCAGCTGTGATGTTCTCATTTTAGGTTCCTCCTCTTCAGTCAACCTCTCTTCTTCACCTGGACAGAAATCCATCTTCACCCGTTTACTTTGGTGATCTTCCTGGGCATCTCCATCATGATCCATGTTGTCACTTTTTCTCTTTTTCTGAGAATAAACTGGCACTTTGGTCTCTTTACCCTCTGCTCCAAGCCCCTCAAAACAAGAGGCCCATCTTCCCTTTGCATTAGCATTCCTGAATCTCTCACAGAGACACTTTAGTTTCCCCGTACAGTTTGAGGTGAGGAGGGACCCTTTCCTAGTGCCCTCAATATCTCTTTGGAGCTGCTTGATTAAGGCACAAGTCCACTGATTTTCCACGTCATCCTGAGTCAGACACTGAAGCAGGTAAAGAACACGGTCTTTGGGCAGTCCAGGGTGAATCAGATGTAGAAAACACAGCAGATTTCGCTTAAAGCCTTCAGAAAACAGGCACACCAGAGGTTTACTGTAAAACAAAAGAGAAGAATTACTCACCCAAACGTATTGTATTAAGTGTATTATTTAACAATAGACAGATCTTTAACCCTTAAGAGGCAAGGGATATATTTCACAACACAATAGGACTCATTCAAAATGACTTTTTAATTCAAAATATTGATTTTATTTTCCATTTTATTCTTTAAATAACAATTGCATAATCAACCGTTTAGTTGATTAGAACAAATTATATGCATATATGCAAATTATTATATTTATATATGAACAAGCTTTTGAGGCATTGATTTACAAAAAAAGAAAATCACGTAAAAAATGTTACGAATTTTGCCACATATCTGAACGCAGTAGAGTTGAACCTTTTATTTAGCCTATACTAAACTCCAGTCCACTTTTTTCATACATCACTAGACAGTTACAGGTGAAGGTAAAAAAAATGTGAAGTAGTAAAATATTTTATAATTATGACTGTTTGCCTGGTGACATCCTCAGCAGGATTATGATCATTTCGCACCCATCTTGCGTTGTGACGGTCTACTTACAGAACGAGAGCGTGCTCGTACACAGATGCTTCCCGTTGGCACAAAGTTTCCAAAGTGAGGGTGTAATCTGGATCAGATCTGCGCTGTTTATTGAAAACTGTCTGCGCATTGCTCACTCCGGCTGCTCCTGAATGTAGTGCGTGAACCAGCAACCGGGCCCGTCCGTCAAAACGCTGCACCAGAGCCTTCAGATCCATCACTGGAGCGCAAGCACAGATATCGGACACCACCGACGAAGCCTGCTACTACTGTCGTTTCAAAACGATATCCGTAGCGGTCCACCCTGACATATTTATCAAAACAATGACAGATCATAACACTCGTATCGTATCGGTATCGATATCGACGATACTGCCTTGAAAAATATCGGTATCGTATCGAAAACAAAATAAGTGGTATCGCCCATCCCTAGTACAAAGTTTCGGATCAGTTCTTTATGTGGCTCTAAACAAGCGCTTATTGTACAGTAGAGACTCCTGCAGGTTTGGAGCGGAATTACAATCGAAAAGCCCTCTGGTGACCTTCTGAACCGGTTTTGCCATAGTGTCATCTTAATTTTAAATGGAATTATTTGTAGAAAATACAACTTCTCCAGAGTGCCCCCACCCTCCTCAAAGCATGTGTGGCAGCACACATACAAATTACAGAGACCAAGAGGATCAGGTAAGGCAAACAGTGGAACATTTTTTATTTTCACTTTTCTTAGAATATAAACACGTACTAAAAGTAATAAAATGTGACATCAAGTCCTGGTATAACCTGTTAACACTGCTGAAGAGAACAATATAATCAAAAGCCTGCTGACAGGTTGCACATTTAGTGTTCTGCAAATACTGGCAATAATATTAACTACTACACAGTATACAAAATTAAAATCTGATTTCATATAAAGGTATCAGACAAAAGGGTGCAACAATCAGGAATCAGCACAGATGGAAGTACTAAACGATCAACAAGTGAAAAGCAAGCTGAAATAAGTGATCATGCATTGTTAACATTAACTTTTTTTGCCTAAGTTTCTCCCCAACTAAACCTGAAGAGACACCCAGTTTGCGATTTCAGCATTCAAACCCCCCCCACACACACTCCCTTAAACTAAAGGCAAAAGACTTTCACTCACACACACACACACACACACAACAACAAAAAAAGTAAATCTACACGGCTAAACAATTAGCCAAACATTTAGGACTTGCTAAAGTGAAGCCAACCCCAAAGAGACCATTAGATTTCAGTGCAGAAGATAAGCAAAGTTCACTCAAAGCTGAGCCAACATATACATGACTCTAGAAGGTCCTTAGTCATCAAGAAAATCCAGAAGGTCTTCGTCATCTTCATCCAGCAGAGTTAGGGCAAAGATATAGCTCCAAAGTTGGATGCCATCAATGCCCAAATCCTCCAACATCTCAGCTGTGTCCTAAAAACAACTCAGATTAAAATGGCTAACTGATGATGTTAAATACAGCAAGCTTAGCACTGCAATGCAGCATAGTGAACGTTTCCCCATATATATATATATATATATATATATATATATATAAAAATAAAAAAAGGCACAATTTGTAGTTCACAAATATGGACCATAACAGGCACAAATAAAAAAAAAATTTTAATTAGTTAAACGTTACCCTGGATGCCGAGCGCCTGCGACGGTGTGTATGATTAGGGGGCATGTCATGGCTGTAGATACACTCCATGCCCAAATCCTCCAACATCTCAGCTGTGTCCTAAAAACAACTCAGATTAAAATGGCTAACTGATGATGTTAAATACAGCATAGTGAACGTGTCCCCATTCATATATATATATATATATATAAAAAAAGGCACAATTTGTAGTTCACAAATATGGACCATAACAGGCACAAATAAAAATTTTTTTTTAATTAGTTAAACGTTACCCTGGATGCCGAGCGCCTGCGACGGTGTGTATGATTAGGGGGCATGTCATGGCTGTAGATACACTCCGATTTAAAGGGGCAGCATCCGTGGCGCATGAAGAAAGTGCACTTCAACTTACTAGAGATAAACAAAACTCCAGAATCAATGTAAAGGATCAAATAAACCATTACAAAAGATTTGACAGCATGAATGAACAATTCTAACCTGCTTCTTTCTTTGAAAGCGGCTATCAATGATGCCTTTTCCTCCCCATCACAGACCCAGTGCTTGCTGGGAATGTAAAAGGAGGATTTCACTCTGCACTGTGGACAGCCCCTGTTTACATAAAAACAAACAAAAAAAACACCAACTTAATGTACATATATACAGTTTTATACACGCAAAAGGGAGAAGGGGAGTCAGAAATAAAAAAACTCACTTGATGACATCCTCCTGGAAGTCCTTTGTTTTTCGCCAGGTAACAATGCAGCTGATGCAGAAAGCATGATTGCAGTTTGGTAGGATGCCATAACGCCGTTCTGGAGTGGTGGATTTCTCAGAAATCTTGTCCATGCAGATGCCACAGGCCACATCTTTGCTTTGGTCTAAAGCCCTTGAATGCTGTTGCTCCGTCAATACTGCAGCACCGCTCTGATTTGGTCTCTCGGGTGAACCTGTCACCTACAATCCAATAATATTTCATTAAACCCAAGCCTATGATCTCCAAATAGAGCAGTCAAGGAGCTAAAGAAACAGTGTTTGTGACCTGCGTTTCAGCTTCAGATACGGTTACATATTGGACTTCAGCAGGCACAAAGGCTGATGAGCTGTAGTTATGCGAAGAACTGGAGTCTGTAGCACTGATTTGTTGCAGTGGTCTCATTGCACCTGAAGAGGACAACAAAATTCGATTCATAAAAGGAAAATGTGATGTGTAGTTTAAAAGAAAAGCGTGAATAAACCGTAATACCTTGCTGGGGAGGTCCATCTTCCACAACACCGAACTCTTCCTCCTCTGCAATGCCTGTAGTCAAGCATTCAAAGTTCTGCTGCAGCACGCTCATACCTGTGACCAGTGGCTCTGAACCTCTCCGATTCATGCTGCGGGCTCCTTGAGGTGGGAGAAGAGAGGGCTCAGATCCTCGGCGGTCAGCCAGAGAACGGCCCGCCAGCACAGAGAAGAACCCCGCAGGTGCTGAACCGCGTCTGCTGCTCCCTGAAGAACCTTCACCCGCTTGAGGAACGTGGAGATACCTGCAAGACATGCAACTCGTAAACCGCTTTTCTAATAACATGGTTCAAAAAAGGCCAGCTGGTTCCTTACCTGCAACGGTCACCAAACCAGCAGCCACCTTTCTGGAAGTACCTACACTGAACCTGAAACGAAGGTACTGCAGGAAACTCATGCAGATAGTAACAACTCGGACCATAGCGACAAGATCCATTGATGAACTGCCTGCAAAACACAACAACATGCCAATTACATATATTTGTTGACAACTGCAGCACATGTATTTCACAAGTTCTCGAAAAGCTGCAGCATTTAATTTTTAAAAAATGAGGAAAAAATAAGCAGTTTTGAACCCTCGAGCACTCGTTCGTGTTATTGACTACTGTAGTAAGTTACACGGAAACTGAAGGACTTTACACGTTTAGAAACTAACAAATCTCGCAACGGTCTTTTCAAACTAACGTTTACGTTGCAGTTCAAAAGTATAACAAATATCATGATGTTTGTTGTAACTGGAATGGTCTTTCTACTACAACAAAAACAAATCGCTCGCTGTCTTAACCGGATGTAAACATCGGCGCCGAGAAACGTTAAAGCAGGAAAAGTCACTCTTTCAAACAGATGATCGGGGCTAAGAAACGAACTTTTCATCCAGTCGAACACACGAAACTACCTGCAGACTTCTCTTTCCACATTTGAGCTGCCTTTTCTCGACTGTCTACACGGCGTGCGAAACCGATCCATTTTGAGAGCCTCCAAAAACTTGATTTAATGAAGTTGTTGGAGCAAGTAAACGGATTGAAGAGTTGGGGGAAGAGAGGGAGAGAGAGAGGGAGGGAGAGAGAAAGAGAGGGAGGGAGAGAGAAAGAGAGGGAGGGATAGAGAGAGAGAGAGAGAGAGAGAGAGAGGCGCTGGAGACCCACGTCACGCAGATCGCGCGCTGACCAACCAGGGACGCCCGTGTCGTTTCTACAGATTAAACAGCGAATTTGGAGGGAGACAACTATACAAACGAGACTTGGGTCTCACAATTCGTATATACTTGCAGATCTTTGTCTTGATATATTACTTCCCTAATTGTTTGCTTGGTGGCACTGCAACAATCCAACAACCACTGATCTGCACACTAAGAGCTGAAGACCAAACCCACCTACAAGCAGCACTGTTGTTTCCTGGGCCTTTGGATGATTGTGCTTCCCTTTCCATCTTGCGCTTGTCCCTCTTTGCCTGATGGATGGCTAATGACATGCACACTTTTATAATTGTTGGGCGGGGCCTTCCCATTTGGACGTGTGATGGACATGGAGGCATCTTAAAACGTGATACCCAGTAAAGGTTCGAATCAATTCCAGTAAACGCTTCTTTCAATTCAGCTATTCTTGTATATCATGGTACATAGGCCTACTTAACATGATACTTTCCTTCATATGAATTTTTATTATGGGTGTCTGTTATAATTTTATATGTCCCTGAACCTAAATATAACCGTACAATACCACTAATTATATATATTAAATATAATGCGAAATATAATTAAATATAAAAATATACTATTTAATCAGCTCTGATAAGTTCTCTGTTCATTGTGAATCATACGGACCGATTCGGGAGTGAATCAATGGGCTTGTTTGAGATGAGCAAAATCTGCGCAGAACCGATCACCGGTGATCACCGCGAGATGCATGCCGGTTAGAAAAGTGACCGAGTTCTCGCTGTGTCGGATTGTGCAGTCAAGCGCAGTTGCTCTCCACCGACTGCTGAGCAAAAGCATGATGGGAAACGACTGACTGACGACACAACTGAATGCTCATTGGTTCAGACAGCTGTGATGCTGCATTCTCTTCTAAAAAAACATATTTCTTTATCTGGTTTCATGTGATTTATGTATTTAAATTATGCATGAATATTCCCAAACACTATGCCAGTGCGATCTCTGTGTGAGATATGTGATTGTTGTCGTATTTCTATAAAAATCTAAAATACACGTTTGTATTAAAGTAAACATGGATGATAAATACGCAGCACTTTGGGTGTCTTGTTCATCTTATTTATTTTCATATAAAAACAACAGAGCTGAAATGATATCATGTTAATCAGCAGCACAGCACGAGTGAGAATAACGTGATATCTGTCTTTGATCTCGTTGGTATCTGTTCACTTCGAGGGCAGAACTGTTCGTCTTGACTGCGCTTATTTCACTCCTCCCCTCACTGCAGACGCCTGCTCTAGCCTACATTTCAGGCGAGGCGCATCTCAAACAAGCCTCTTAAAGGTCCCATATTGCGCAAGAAATCTGTAGACGCGCCCATAACAACAAAAGAATACTTTATTGAACCTTTTCTGATAAGAAGTGTGCGCTGCAAACGTGAGCATTTTTCTCGATCGTTTGAATATTAATTAGACAGACCAAAATCGACATGTTCTCAGCAGAGCTCCTGAGAGAGGAGCTGTAAAAATATATTGAGATGGTTTTTGGTACTTATACCGCAAATATATATTCTTAAGGACATCAAAACCTCAAATAAAACTCCAGAAAGGTGTACAATATGGGACCTTTAAGACCCAAGTATACCGTTTATGAAGCGGTTCAACCAATTGAATGAAAACATTCTAAAAGAACGATTCGTTACGATGCCATGCAACATTTCATGCACTTTTAAAGGTGCAGTATGTAATATTGTAATAAGTATCCCTTTTTATTCTCTCTATTCTTTCCTATTACTTGTTTCGCTTCTGTTTCAGTTTTTATAACCATTTCTTACTATGTGTAAGTTGTTGTTTTTTAGCATGTAAGTTTGGCAGTGTTATTTTTTAGGATTACTGATAAACTACTGTCGTTTGATTTGTATTATTTGTATTTGTTATTTATTTTAATTTTAGTTAAATTATGTCTGAATTTATTATGTCTGTATAGGTATTTTATTACTTCAACAAACTAAATGGAAATGAAATTATATATATATTGAATTTATAAATAAATAAATAAATATATATGTATATGTATGTGTGGGTGGTTGTACATACACATATACTGTATGTAGTTGTTTTTTTGGTGTTTGGCTTAGTGTTATGTTAGAATCATTATTATACTCTTATACCTTTTGTTTTTTACTATTTTGAATTGTTTTTAGCTTTATTTTTCATTTAAATGTTAAGTTTTGAAATGTTGTTGTATGCATTTGTCATTTTTATTTAATCTCTTTATTTTTTTAAATGTGTATAAGTAGTATTTATAAAGTTTTAGCTTTTAGTTTTGGATCTGTTTTTAGTTGTTTTAATACTACAATTGATTGCTTGTGTTGTCCTCATTTGTAAGTCGCTTTGGATAAAAGCGTCTGATAAATGACTAAATAAATAAATATTGACAGCTAGTGGCTGAAATGGGTACTGCAGTCCAAAATCAAAATATTGGAGAGCGTTGTTTCTTCTGCTTACCCTCCTCAGACTCGACGCTCACGCAGGTGCGAGATGCACAAAGGAACGAGCGCAAATAACAATGTTACCCAACGAGGCTCACAGTGTAAGCCGATGAGTTGTTTTATCCGTGTTCTATATGTCTCTGGTCATAGAGATTTTTAGATGGATGCCGAGGCTTTTTAGGTCGGGTGGAATCTACGATCTCTGACCCAGTTCATTTGTTGGCTTCAAGGGTTTCCAGGTTTTCACACAAAAAACCGCCCAATCGCTACTCAAAACTACCCCAAAACTAGCCCAATTGCTTTCGAGGGGGTCCCCAGTTAAAAATCGCATCCGGGGGGTAAAATACACGTTTTTTGGCGGGGTTCCCCTGCTAAAATTCGTATTCCAGGGTATACATATCATGTTATTGGAGTAGCTTCATCGGCGGCAACAGTGTTAAAGTAACCCAGTTCCGCGTGAAAACAGTGGACTTGGCAAAACTGGCTTCAATGGCTGCAATACACTGTATTTTCCGCCAACTGGCAACCCGAGGTGTTGAAATACTATTGGGTAAACCTGCAGTGGGCGGGATCATGCAGACCAAAAGAAAAACAGACATTCCAACAGGGAACGCACATTTCAAATTTTGTAGTATTGTTTTTCGAAGAAACAAATGTGAACTTAACATGTTTCCTAAATATTTGCAAACATATTATGGTATTTTTATGCTTTAGTACAGTCAAAAAAATTACAACACCTTTAAACATGACAGATGAAACAAAGTTCACGGTGAAATATAAGATTACACCGGACAAAACGGCAGGTTTAGTCACTCATTAAAAGGTTATTCATTGACACCAATTTGTTTCTTATTAAAATGGAAATGCAATTAGTAAACCATAAATTATGAAAAAGATTAACATTTATATTTTATTACTGCAAAATGTTTGTGAAATATTGGTATATCTGGAGCTTTTCATAAATCACAAGAAACTCATAGGTGTAAGGAACCGTTTTACTGTGATCCAAATAATATCCCACAAATCATAACACTTGTGCATCTTATCCGCTCTTGTCAGTGAAGCAAGACACTGCTCAGATGGGCCAGACTGGAAAAGTAGAACGATATTGGTGAATGTCTGGTGTGAAAATGGATGACAAAAAGTATTTTTAAAATAAGAAAAGAAAAAAAAAAACATACATTTCTTATAATTTCATATTATTGTGCTCTCTAGTTTCACAGTAACAGGTTTCTACACGATCATAGATCTCGGACATCAAGTTCCACCTTGAAAAAAAAAAGATCACAAAAGCAAATTTCAGCAATAAGAGGAAAAACTATATATATTTATCTATATATTTTATAGATATTTCTGAGATACTTCTGGATGTGAAATGGTAGATGTGTTGCACATCATATTAATACCAATTAATGTAATTCAACATCAAAACTGCTTTTTAACGCGTCTACACTGATTTCCCAAATTATTCAGCACTGTTTTTGACAAGACCCATTCTAAACTCAGAAGTGTCCAAGTTATTTCAATAAAAGACAACAGAAGTATCTACTCAAAATGCATTCCATTCATTTTCAATGCACATACAACTATCATGGCATGATCGTTAAGTAATTAATTAATGCATCTGATTTAAAGAATGAATTTAAGTTTATGTGTACTATACATGTTCTAGTTTGAATGTAACCACAGCCTGCTTGCTTTCAATCACACAATATATATTCATAGAACATGTTCAATCAACATATAATGGAAGACCTAATTTAATACAACTGCTTGTCAAGGAGACAATAAAATCTAAATGATGTTGTCTCTCAAATCAGTAAATATGACCTTGAGACTGGTACCGGACGGTGTGCCAAAATACAAGTACCATCATGGTACCAGTGTTTAACAAAGGGATCAGCACATAAGAATTTCATATAAGTATATCATGAACAAAGTGAAGAAACATTTCCATCCTTACAGCTGAAATGATCACGCTGTTGTAGGTTTATCCCAAAGAGTTAAAGTGAATTAAGCAGATTTGTCTTCAGTTTCAATACCAATATATATTTGTAGCAGCTGACACTGAAAACAACATCCTCGACAAAAGTAACAGAATTCCAAAATAATATAACTCCCTGCTGTACAGTTTTGTGTGGAGTCTAACTTTTACTTTAGTAAAAGTGCCTAATCAAACAGAATCAGGAGGAAAGAAGAACTACAAAATAAAAGCCCTACAAACACACAGTAAGTGGCATTTCAAGAGCTTGACTGTTCTCTGATCTCCTCAGAGAAACATACTAGATATCACTTAAACGTACTTGCAAAGCAAAATCATGATGGAAAAGACCACTTCTAAAGGTGTTAGCCCTCATCAAGCAAATTAATAACATGATAGTAGTAGTAAATGGTGACTAGATGTTCTGCGTCCTTGAGTTTAAATAAAAAAACACTCAAAGTGTCAAAATGTCAGTATTCAAAGTTTCAATATTCAATATTTGTAAAAGCCCTTTACAAAAATTCATTAAAAAAAAAACAATGGCACCACGGTGCCATTCAGATGTGTGCACTCTCTCCATTCAGGAGGGAACTCTGAAGTCCATTCTTCAGTCAGGTCTTGCATGTCAGTACATGTCTTTATAGATCTCCTGTAAAAGTGGGTGGAGGGAGGTCTCAGATTCAGTCTTTTTGATCATCTGAACCAGCTGGGCGTTCTCTGTGACCAGCTGTCTGAGGTCAGCCATCTTCTGCAGCAGTTTGGGGAAGAGATGAGGAGAGTCAGGGTGGTGCACCTGAAGATGTTGGTCCAGAGCTTGCAAGACGCCATCCTGGATCTGTTCAACCTGCTTCACGTTCACCAGCCCAGGACGATCTAGAGCAAAGAGAAACCATTTTTAGCTTCTTTTTTCTTGTTTAGCTATTTTACTGACATTACAATTGGTTGGTTTACAATCCAGTGTAAAGTGTGCTTTTTCCATGTTGTGATAAACAAGCTTTTGATCTCTTCTAATGTTGGGTTCTCATTTTACTGTCATTACTCCAGAAATTCTTTGTGGATGTAAACTGTATAGACAACAACAAAGGACATTTGAAAACATGCTGATCAAACAAACACCACAGCCTTGCCTCCGCACAGTATGATGGCCGCTACATACAGAGCCAGGTCACTGTCATCCAGCTCCAGGGCATTGAATTTCACCGCAAACTCAAATTTGGGCTCCATGATCTCGCTGAAAGGTTTGCGTAGACTACGCAGGAATTCTCTCGTCACAAAGCCCTTCCCATTGGCCACCAGCAGCCCGTCTTTATTCATGAGCGATGGGAGCATCGCAAATATGGCCTCATGGACTCCATATTTTAACAGCGTTACCTGAAAGAAAAAGTGGGAGATGAATTCAGTGGAAAAATATGCGTCAATACTTAATTCATGTATGATAATAAATACGAGCAGCAACTAAAAACTAATTCTCACCTGATCATTAAGGAAGAGATCCACAAAGCCAGGGATGTTTTTGGCAAACTCCGTGAGCTCTCGCACAATTTCAACTGTGGTGCACTGGCAGCGGTAGAAGACATGGACCCCAATCTCTTTGTTGGGTGGTGCTCCATTAAGCTGATTCCAGACCAGCCCGTTTTCTGCCTGCCATAGTGAGTCCATATCATGGATCACAAAAGGCTGGAGATGAAATGAGAACAACAACTGGAATAACTACAAATCAATCATATACCATTTTGTGTACAAAAATAATAATAATTTAAAATCAGTTTTAACATCAAAATAAATATTGGCTTAGCGTATCTGCCAGAAATTTAATATCAATCCATCCTTAGACTTGCTAAAATAAACCATATGAGAAAACGGCAATTATTGGTGGCATCTCACTGAAAGCGGAGCGCATACCGATGTGCAGCTCGTCTTGCCCGTGAGGATGCTCCGTGCTTTTTTCTTGGTCATGTTGAGGTTCCTCAGGTAGGATGTGTTGACATGCTTGGCCAGTGTTTTGAGGTCAGCTCCACTAGAGCTTTGCAGTTTCTCCCCAGCGATGAGCCCTGCCACTAGCTTCTTCTTCTCCGACTCTGGCATACGTCCGTACCTGATTGCTGAGGCAAAGAAACAAAAACAAGCTCCATTTATTACAACATAACCCAGTACATATTTAAAAATAAAGCAACAATTTATGAATGCTCAAATATTAATTGCTGAGTATGACTATTAAAGGGGACATCGGAAGCCCATTTTCCACAAGCTGATATGATTCTTTAGGTTCTTCGTGAAATGTCTGTAACATACTTTGGTTAAAATTCCTCGATGGTTGTGTAAAACAACATCAAAAACAGCTCTGTTCACAGCGACCCGTTTCGGTGCATGTCTCTTTAAATGCTAATGAGTAACTGCTCACCCCATCCCTCTCTTCCGTGGAAGAGGAAAGGCGATTTGCAAATGATCATAAAAATATAAAGTAGGAGACTTACTTCTTCTGGAGGTGCAGCTGGATCACGAACAGTGGGTACTGATTAGGGCTGTGCGATATTGAAGAAAAATGCGATATGCGATAACTCATTAAATAATGCAATATTCGATATGCGATACGATAATGCTTAAAGTGCCACATGCTCAGATGAAACAGTTTTTACTCCGCCCCCAAGTATTACAAGCTGTAGCAATATGCATATTGCGATATGTACATTTCGATATTTCGATAATTTCGATATATTGCACAGCCCTAGTACTGATCCATCCTTGAGTTTTAACTTTTTAGCAAAACCTGCCTTGAATTGTCCCTCGTTCAGAAAGCAGTCTGGAGTAAAATGATTTTGCAGACTTCTAAATTAATTTAGGTGTATTCGGTGGCACATTACCATCAAAAACAAAACTAATCCAAAGCGTCCTCAGTGGCTCTGATTTCGGGAGAAAATTAAGACTCTTATGTTCACTTTTACATCTAACTACAAAACACCTGCATTGCTTACGAGACACTGATGTTGCTACAGCTGCTCGAGCGCAGAGAAAATGGCAGACAGCGTATAACTGGCTGAGGGTGGAAATATGCTAATACGGGACAATTCGTTAGCGGCCGTGGGCGGGGCTTGAGCAATAAGACATCATTTTGCTCAGAAAATTGAATATGAGACCGTTTAGGTTTTTTGGGGATATAAAAAAAAAGAAGAAAAAAAAAAAAAAAAAGAAGTGAATGGATTTTTATCATTGTGTGGTTGTGTCCACACACTGCTAAGACGCATTTACATGCAAACCCCATGTAAAAGTGAATTTTGCATCCGATGTCCCCTTTAAAGGAATATTGCACAAAAATTAAAATTTTCTGAAAATTGACCCACCCTCAGACCATCCAAGATACTGATGAGTTTGTTTCTTCATCGGAAAAGATGTAGTGAATGGGTGCCATGATCAAGCAGTGATGGTGTAATATTAAGCACTCTAATGATGAACATGCTTCTAACAAACACACAGGACATTAATTAATAAACTGGCATCGTGTAGATCACTTGTGGATTATTGTGAAGTTTTTATAAGCTGTTTGGACTCTCATTCTGATGGCACCCATTCACTGCAGAGGATCTATTGTTGAGCAAGTGATGTAACACTAAATTTCTCAGAATCTGTTCTGATGAAGAAACAAACTCATCTACATCTTGGATGGCCTGAGAGTGAGAAAATGTTTCAGCAAATTTTCGTTTTTGGGTGAATTATTCCTTTAATATTCAGTTTTGCACATACTAAGTAGATGTAAAATGAGAGTGAAAATTCTAAATGCTTTAAAGTGCCCCTATTATGGATTTTTGAAAATTACATTTCATGCAGTGTGTAATGCAGCTGTATGTGAATGTAAACTCTCTGCAAAGTTATAAAGCTGAAAGTGCATCATAAATAAAGTTATTGTGGATAATGTAATGTCAAGAAGACGCTGTGCTCTGTGCTGTGAAAGTGAATTCGGTTTATTTTCACTTCCAAAGGATGAGGCTGTCAAGACTCAGTGGTTAAAATGCATATTTACTAAGATACCCCAGCAGTATAATCCCAAACTTTTGCCGTGTTCCCATCATTTCACTGATGACTGCTTCCCCAATCTCTGCGAGTTCAATGCATAAACCAGTTGTCCTTGAAAGATGGGTCAGTGCAGAGTTTGTTTGGAACAGTTCGCTCCTCCAAATCACAACCTGTAAGTGTGATTAATAATTGTTGCTGTGATGTTCTGTTGAGTGTGCAAAATATGTCGTTTTGTGTGTTGTGTTGTGTATACAGTCAGTGCAGCTGTGGGTCTCCGGCTAACTCACGTTATAGTTCAGCTAATCAGCTGTGGGCCCGCTATTGTCTAGAAATGTTTCGATTAATATAGAATGTCTGTTGTACCTGGAGTCATGATAAAGCATGGAGCAATACGTTGGTTTACAAAATCAGTACTCTTTGTCTGTGTTCGGCTAACGCATATACCATTATTGTTTTTTTAATTTTTATTATTATAATAGGATGCATTATTGATAAGCCATATTCCAGTACTGGTAATGGGTGTTCTGTTTCAGACATGCACTGTACGCAGTCGTCCAATCACAACAGACTGGGTCATCGGACCAATCAGAGCAGAGTAGCCTCATTCAAAGGAGGGGTTTGGAAAGATAAATCTTCAAACTAATCGTTTGAGAGTCGTTGAGAAATAACGTAAAATTAAGTGCATATTATACGAAAAATTACACGGTTTCTGGATCTTGCAGGAATGTAAACCTGTTGTTGGGGATTCCCAAAACCAAATTATAAACATTTCAAATAGTATAATAGGGGCACTTTAAATTGTGGTTATATGCAGACTGCTCACCATCATGTGACATGCCCAATGCCAGGCACTTCTGGAAGCGACAGTACTGGCATTTGTTTCGGTTCTTTTTCTGGACTTTACAGGCACGCTCACACTGCTCATACTCCAGCTTCATACGAATGGTGCGTCTGAAAAAACCCTTAAAAAAAATGACACTTTCTCACTGAAAAACAGCAAGTCAAATATGCACTTGGATTGCAGAGTTATTTCACCACAGAAATGCAACTTTAAGCATTAGGAAGCCCAGTGATTCAAGGTAAAGAAATAGAGTGGTTTTATTAAAGATGCTGTAACAGATTTCAGTCATTTCGCTAAAGTCACAGTCTTTAATTACACTGCCCCATTCCTTCAACACAAAAACCCCACCAAAATTCTCCAAAGTTATGTCAATTCACATGCAGACCAGGTTTCTGATTGGTTGGGGGGAAAAAACCTGGGTTGCTTGCAGATAGTTTTGGCTGTTTACAGAGCCAGATGTGATTTCTCAGGACATCTATTTTGGTGATAGTATAGATAGTATCACTTACAGCACCTTTAATGTTCAGATATCATAGATGACGATCTATTTTAGGCCATAAATCCACCCACAGTTTGTGAAAAACCTTGACTGCAGTGGTTTTGACAAGTTCAGCAAAATTACCTTGCAGCCTTCACAAGCATGTACTCCATAATGAAATCCTGAGGCTTTATCTCCACATATGCGGCACTCGACGTTCAGGCCCAAAGTACTGGGGTCATCCCGACCCAGCCGTAACTGGTCTGACAGCGAGAGAGAGGGGGTCTGTAACGGATCTGTAAATATGAGCCAAAAACAAATAGAAACTTCTTAAAGGATCTCTTATCAGAGAACTGCAAAAGTATATATTTTATGGATAAAATATATATATACATTTATTTATTTTAACATCAGAAAGCATGACAGGAAATAGTCTGACATAAATAAATGTAAAAAAAAAATGCATGTCTATTGAAATGTTAGGAAACAGTTCTCTACCATATTTTACTATTCATTTATTCATTTTAATCTTCTATTAATGTTGTTTTGTTAAAGGGGTCATGAACTGAGAAATAACATTTCCCTTGATCTTTTGACATAACAGATCAATGTACTGTACTATAAAAACAATCTGTAAGTTTCAGAACTAAACTCTCGTTAGTTCAAAAACAGCTTTTATTGAAACCAAAATTACTCGTTTTGGAGTTTGTCACAATCCAAAGTCATGCTTAAAAATGGCCATGTTTAAACATCTACAGAAAGGCCATAGCTAGGGATGTAACGATTAACCGCAAGCCGGTTGAAAATCGATTCAAATATGTGACAATTCAAATCGGTTGAGATGCTAAACAAATCGCGATTCAATTAGGGGTAGGAGTTTATATGAATGCATGTCTGAGGGGAATATACTGTCTTTAGGTAAGTTTAGATGGTATTTTTTCTTTTCATCTTGCCTCTGTATAATGCATATTAAAGTTCATAAGTGCAGCCCTACTTTGTTTACAGCAGAAACCAAGGAAACACTTTAAGCGCCACCTGCTGGCAGAGAGTGAATCTGCGTCTCATTCAACTCGTCTGCTATTTCGGTTTCATGCAGATAGTTTTTCTGTATAGTTTCACAAAACTGAAGTCGAACCACTGTCTTTAGAAAAGTTTAGATGGTATTTTTTCTTTTCATCTTGCCTCTGTATAATGCATATTAAAGTTCATAAGTGCAGCCCTACTTTGTTTACAGCAGAAACCAAGGAAACACTTTAAGCGCCACCTGCTGGCAGAGAGTGAATCTGCGTCTCATTCAACTCGTCTGCTATTTCGGTTTCATGCAGATAGTTTTTCTGTATAGTTTCACAAAACTGAAGTCGAACCATTCTGTTTTTGCTTCAAATTTTGAAATTATACAATCTAATTTAGATTAAAAACTGCTCATGTTGCATGTATGCAGCATCTTTGTTTGGATCAAGATTAAAATGCAGTGGTTGCCTCTAATTTTAAATGGAAAGAGCACAGACAAAGCCTTATTTTGTTTATATGAAGAGATTTCTTGTGTGTTATTTATTTATTTGGGGCTTGTTTTAAAATTTCAATTTAGCTTTGTTATTTACATTTACATTATTAAAATTTGGTCATTTAGCACACACTTTTATCCAAAGTGACTTACAAATGAGGACAATAGAAGCAATCAAAACCAACAAAAGAGCAATGATATGCAAGTGCTATAATAGTATATTATTATTGTGTTATATTTTATTTTCACAAAGAAACATGCAGCATTTTGTCCAAGCAATAATAAAAGAACACATTTAATTTATAATTTGACTTAAATCTAATTTTGAAAAACAAATCATGAATCAAATCGAATCGTGAGTTGAGTGAATTGTTATTATCCCTAGCCATAGCACTGAAATTACATATGTATATTGTATGTATACTCTCACACTGTATTTGCTTTTATTTATTAAATTTTTTTTTTAACTCGATTATAGAAATCAAAATAACAAAAAGCACACCGGACAAAAAGCGTAGCACGTCGCATCTATAACTCGCAGGTTTCATACACCGGGCACATCATGTTCAGTTCAAGCGGCTGTCCAGAACAGTTTATTTAATCACCAAACAGGCAAAGGTTGACTATAAGAATGAACAAAGTGGCAAAACAGAAAGAGGAAGCACGATCTATACTGTAGCTCCGTATTTGAAGCATACATATAGGTAAACGTTTCACTGAAAAATGCACAATACACAATCTTCCAGCCTTGGGTGAAGTCATTCTACATACGAACAACGATCTGGGACAAATATAATGTAATTTAATGGAAAACTATGTGAGTGGTCATCTGTGGAGCGGCAGGGACTCGGGTCGGCTGCATGAACATATCAATATGCTTTCTCACGTCACTAGCTTTAAATATGCAACTTCAATGGATAACAAATGCATAAAAGTGGCCAATTGGATATAAACTATTGCAAATAGATGGTAACAATCGTGACATCAAACATTTGAGTCAGACTTAAGTGTGTTTTGGTCAAACTGTTTCAACCTCTTGAGGTGCTACTAATGTCCGCATCCTCACAGCATTGTTGGCAAACATACTTCTGTTCTTGCACTACTAATGCAGCATCTAGACAACAAATTGAATTACTTTATAATGATATGAAAACATGTACAACCCTGTGAGAAAACCTTTTTATTCAGTTAACTCTTTTGAAGAGATCTTTAACAGAGTTAAGCCAAATACAATTTAAAGTTTTTAGCGAAAATAAATAGCAAAAATCTGATATAATTTAGAAAAATTTTCTCGCCATGAAAATAGCCACAGAAGCTGGCATGGCGTTAAACACAAACAAAGAATGAAAACATTTACTGTAGTATACTGTATACACACCGCTTCGATGTCTGTTTTAAATCCGCGTCTGAAGTGTCCGGCTCTGTGCAGCACGCAGCCTCACGTGTCAAAACAAATAGCACAAAGTGTCAGTGATTCCGCCTCTAGAGGCCGCTCTCGTACTGTATAATGACAGCGGACCTTCTCAGCCGCTCCAGCAACGGACACAACCCAGAAAAACTATCGGTATGGATTTTTGCAGACAGCCGATATTTCTAGCAATTAACTATCAGTGCCGATTAGTCTGCAAAACCGATCAATCGGTCGACCTCTAATTTATAGGGTTAAGTGGAGGCAAAAAATCTCACTGTCAGGATGCCATAATACTTGGCTCTGATGTCTAAGCGCAGTTTTACCTGGAAACATTTGAGCTGTTACAGAAGTGTCACTATTCTGTTGAGGACTCTCCTGTGGTGTTCCATCTCCATTCTGTTGAGTGGCCCCCCACGATCCCTTGCTGCCGGGTGAGACTTCTAATCTTGTGGCATCAGACGTCTCGCTGCCCTCCACCTCCTCACCCGACGCTGAGCTCGGCTCCTGCAGGTCTGACATCCCTCCACAGTCCGAGGATGCAGACTCACCCTCCTGGACGGCCATACATGTTGTGTCTTCAAGAATCTGGACAGGGTTCAAGTCTGTCCGCGGAGACGATTGGCCCTTTGTAACTCCTGTGAACATGAGGGGCTCCTGGGCTGCCGCAACGTCTACTGGGCTGTCACATTTCATTTCTGAGGTAGGTTGCTCGACCTGTTCCATGGTTCTCCTGTCTGGCTACTAATACTCAAAACCATCCATCACGTGACATTGCCTCTGAAAAGACAAAAGACATGAAAATAAATGTTAATTATTGCAACAGTGCCTCAATGGAACACAGTATATCAGAATATGACCATCATCGCTGGTGTGTAGTGCACATGCTTTGCGATTACACGGATGACCTGAGTCTGACCTGATATCCAGTACTGCTTGGGTCATTTCCTGACTCCACCCCACCCCCCTTACCTCTCTGCTGATTCAAATAAAATTAAAGGGAAAAAATTTCATCCTGAAGATTTTTAAAGCACAGAAATGCTTTGTTCACACTGCATTAAGACTACATTAAATTTATCAAAAGAGACAGTAGAGATGTAAAATATTTTAAATTTTGAAGATTTCGAATGGATGCGGTTTTTTCTATTATTAAAAGTATCCTGATGCATCAGTTTCCACTGAAATATTAAGCAATTTCAATATTGCCAATAATAAGAAATGTTTCTCGAGTATATCAGCATATTAGAAAAATGACCATGTGACAATATATTTATATTAAATTGTAATAATATTTCTCAGTATTACCATTCATTTTAACTGTATTTTTGATTTAATAAATGCAGCCTTGGTGAGACTTTCAAACACATAAAAAAATGACAGTATTGAACGGTAGTGTAGGTAATGTAAAAAAATACAAGTTAATAGTTTTATATTGCAGTATTTCTTTTGATTCAGTTACATCAATTGCAGTGCTTCTCGTGATGAGTAGTTCATACCCTTATAAAAATGCCTAAATGCCTTCTTTTGTGCTTCAGATTAAAGTTTTTTTTAAATGCCTATGGAAAAAATAAATGTGAATATACTGCAGAACCAAGGTTGCTGAAAAAGTGGGCGGTAACTGTTGCATTCTGTTAGCCACTTGAAATGTGAATTCTTTTTTTGTTTGTTTTTTTAGGCCTGGCTCAAATGCTTTCAGGAAAAGAGAATCCTTAAATGCAGAGAATCAGAAAGTAGCTTTTGTCTTAGCTAGCTGGCCTTTCATTTATTCACCACTTCCGATTACATGACCTTTATCTTTTTTGAGACAGACACAAACTGTGCCATAAGCAATTACAGATCTGTGGTATATTTAGTCTACACAGAGTGAGAGGTGATAAATCCATTATGAGACTCTGCTAGGTTGTTTGCTTAAAAAGATAAGATAACCCTGAAAAGAAAGCAGCTGTGGAAAGATTGTGTGACCAATAGAAAAAGATCTAGCAAAAGACTTCTGTGTTACAAAATTTACATAATCTGGTCACCCGCACAAGAATGGTGTATCAAAGCAGAAAGAAAAGAGAAAGAATAATGCTGATCGTGATCTTCCTTCCTTAAGAGACACAGAACTGACTGTGCCCATGAATGTTAAGGACAGGTCAGATAACTTACATCCTAACAGAGGACATCACCTGGGCAATGAGCCATGTCAAACACTAAGACATGAATAAATGCTATTCGTAAAATACTGAAGAGATCCATGCTCTCACTCATGACCCATTTGCATGAGCAAACACAAAAACCAATCTGTCAACACAAAGGTCAAGATATAATGCGTTTCATCTGGTAGGCAGTGTACTTCCTCAGACTACAAGGTGTTTACAGAATGTCTTAAAGGGATAGTTTACCCAAAAATGAAAACCCTAATCATCATTTATTCACCCTCATGTCTTTTCCAAACCTTCCAGTGAACACAAAAAAGATATTTTAAAGAAATCTGGAGACATTGAATAACATTGACTTTCATTGTATAGACCAGGGGTGTCCAAACTCAGTCCTGGAGGGCCGGTGTCCTGCAGAGTTTAGCTCCAACCCTAATTAAACACACCTGAATCAGCTAATCATGGTCTTACTAGGCATGCTAGAAACTTCCAGTCAGGTGTGTTGAGGCAAGTTGGAGCTAAACTCTGCAGGACACCAGCCCTCCAGGACCGAGTTTTTACACCCCTGGTATAGACCAAAGCATTTTTTTGTGTGTGTTTCACAGAAGGATGAAAGTCATACAGTTTTGGAACAACATGAGGGACAAAACAATTAGACATTGGATGAATGAGGTCACATTCATCATAGCTCTCAGTGTGAAAGACGTTGATAACAGATGTGAGTGTTTAGTCATATGGAGATTGAGACCCCTACCAAACAGACTGCGTTTGTAATACATGGATTCTGACAAGAGGATTACGCAGAAGCCACATCAATGTGTGACTAACAAAGACAATGCAATTTAAAAAAAATAAAATCTCAGTTGTTACTGAACCACGATAACATAGAAAAAACAGCACTACCATACATGTGCAGGCTTTACGTTAACGTACATACATGCTCAGTAAATGAAGTGATAAGGAACACTTTGAGCCACTGTTCAGACTTGTCAGCAACCAGTCGTTCAGGTTCTCAGCCTGTCTGCATTGTACTGAGGTTGCATACTAGAGGCAGCCCGCACAGAGGAACTAAATTAGTCAGTGTGCGGAGGTTTCGACAGACACGCATTCCAGTGTCTGAACCTCTAGGTTGTTTCATCTTTGTTTTTAAGGCAAGACACTATGAGGGGGAAAATTTTTTTTTTTAATGCACAGGTCAATTTTGAGATGTTGGACTATTAGGCTTCCAAAAGTGTCTTCTTTCAGATTAGAACATTTCCGAAATACACATTTAAGCGTTTATTTTAATACAGTTTATCTATTTGCATCTGTAAGTTTCAATTCACATACACTGAGCCAGAAATCTTCACTTATCACACAGTAGTACTTGCCTATATTCTGAAGTTTTTAGAGGGGTTTGTTCATATATCATTTACCTAATCGATTTTATATAACATTTGAAAAACATGATTTTTTTTTTTACTCTTGACAGTATTCTCTGATTTATTTATTTTCTGAGTCATAAAAAGGGATATTCAAAGTCCCCTCCAAAAACCATTAACTCTAATATGTCCAATGTTCAGATTTCTGTTCTGGAAATGTGCACATTTAGTAAATCATTTAGTGTGCATTATTTGCATATTTAAACATAACATTTCAGAAAACTTATAACACAAAAAACGGTCTTATTGCACTGTGATTATTAATCAATTGGTTAAGTATAGTGATATCTATTCATTAAAAATGACCTTTTTCACTTGTGATGTCTTGCCTTAAGAGTTAAAGGGCTGGAAAAAATACAAAATTAATAATGAACTTGTACAAAACAACTGCTGAAGATTAAAGACAGTACATGTTCACCTTCATTGTTAAAACTTTAACTTTGGAATCAGAGTGAAAGCAGTCTGTCTACTGTGTGCACAAGGTCACACTTGATACTTCTACATGAAGCCTTTCAAATACAAAAAAACACAAACAATTCACTTATTCTTAGCAGTATAATAATAAGTACGTTTATTATATAGGAAGTATAATAATAGTAAGTAGCTTCTTTTAATCTCTTGTCTGTTTGATCAAGAAAACAGTGCTATTGTCACACAATCGCTTAAAATGTTGCTTTAATTGCCTGGTCACCAATTTTGGAATTTTTGGAACAAAAATGTTTAATAAGATGACGTCAAAATATTTGTAGTATGTGCCAACTAATGTATTCCTTGTGTATCCTTGTTCCTTATATTGTTAATAGTTAACTGTTAAAAATCTAACTTAATGTTAACATGAACAGCGCCTGGCTGAGGGAGCAAAGCTTAGAAATTGATCATACAGATGGTGAAACTTCAACTAATGAAGAAACAGTGACTGACATGAAGCCCGTTGCTGATTAACCTTAACGATTGTATGCTGACAAATAACACAAAATAGCCAAAAAGCTAGGCGGACTGAGTGGCACATCAACCTGACAGACACCAAATCTAGCTAAGTTAGCTGACAAAAACATGACTTCAACACGGTGACATCAACTGTTTAACAGCCTGCATACACTTATTCCGATATGGACATGTTTACTTTGTTAGTAATCGGATGAAGCAGAAATTAGACTTTAAGCAAAACGGCGAGTTTTGGCTAACTAAGTTAGCTGTTCTGGTTTAACTTACCTTGGTGTTTACGGGCCAGCTTCGAAGTTTCCCAGCGGTCGATCAAATACAAATATACTTTTCCTACGTGAAGTTAAGTTGTTTTGAGACTCAAATGAGCTCATAGTCCGTCGGTTTACATCGGTTTTGTCATCACTGTGTCCCCGTGTCTCTTATTCCACACATGCTAGTCCGACTCCGAGGTTAGCACTAGCTAGCTTTACGCTAACATGTTTTTATTTTGTTGTACACGACTTCAGATTTCTCCTGGTAAAACAAATACGGCTACGTTACATAGGTTTAAGATAACAAATACAGGCTTTTTCATTCCATATTTCTGTTATATCCATTCTGCTTTAAAATCCCATTAGAAAACGGATCAGGCGATAACCATCGCGCTGTTATTCATACGCCAACTTCTGCTCAATCTGGTCTAGTAACTCCATTCACTTTGATTACTCGGTTGTCAGGGATGACAGAAATAAAGGAACTAGAAAAGATGCGTGTATTCTATATAATTAGCCTGCAGGGGTCGCTCTTCGGCCCATGAGGTCACAGTCCATAAAGCGCAAAACAAATGCTCGAACTCAATTAGACCACTTACATATAGTATAACCGTATTGAAAATGTGTATCGAACTAAATACGCGTAGAACAATTCACCTCTATAGGCGACTTTTCTGCTTGAGTGAAACAAATGTCCCACACCGCGGTTTGACTTATGACCTAATCACGTGATAGGCGATTGTCCAATGACAGCTCGAGCAGAGGGGTTTAATTCAGAGTCTGTTTTCCTTTACATGTTTTACAGGCGTCTGTGTGGTTGACAGCTAAGAAAAAGCATGGCGTGAATGTTACGTAATAAAAGGTGGTTAGATTCCACCAGTAGGAGATAGATGAATATTAATGAAGCTGTATGAATCATAAATGTTATTTCCCGCTAGGGCTGAAATCGTACCGAGACGGACTAGTTGCTCTGTGCTCTGAGCTACTGGAAAATTCCATGTAATACATTTTGTTAAATGTTAACAAATGAGCTCAATTTAATACATTAGTACTACTAATAATAATCGTAATTGAATGTCTTTTGTGAGTTCTAAAGTGCTCCTCTAGATGGGGCCATTAGATCGGAGTCTAACAGTAAACAGATGGACATTACCAAACAGATGGACTTGTAGTTAAATATGAGGATGCATCACCAAAGAAGATATTTAGCTGAATGTGCTGCTCTGACCAGACAACGAAACAGGAGTGATAGATATAGAATAGATCAAACACGAAGTCGTTCATTTATAATCTTGTCTTCTGTTATAGCGCTCAAATCTCACCTTGAACTTAGAACACAAAGCATTTGAGGACAAGTTTGTGCTCAGGTTTTTCCTAGGCTATATGGTGTCGAGAGCGCTGCACTTCCAGCTGTTTGCAAACAAACCTGTTGCTCATATGAGGATTTGAAATAAAACTACACAACAATTGCACAAATGAACATGAAATATTGACAATAAATGCAGATGTTGGCCATATGCCACACCCACATAGGATGTTTTGTGGGATGGAATGGATTTAAGCATGGCAATATCATTTCACTGGTAACGTAAAGCATAATCAAATCAGCTCAAATATTTTACACTATATCATACAATGGGTGAGGATGCATAGTTTGTGAGTCACAGGCATTCTAATAATCCAGCAGAAATTTGTGGCGCTTTCAGATTCCACATGACCAGTGTTGGGGAGTAACTACATGTAAAGGAATTACGTAATTTAATTACAAAATAAATGTAATTGTAGTCAGTTACAGTTACTGAGAAAAAAAATTGTAATTAAATTACAGTTACTTATGACAATGTTAACGATTACAAAGGGGTTTACATCTGAATATCAAATCAGCTCAAATATTTTACACTATATCATACAATGGGTGAGAATGCATAGTTTGTGAGTCACAGGCATTCTAATAATCCAGCAGAAATTTGTGGCGCTTTCAGATTCCACATGACCAGTGTTGGGGAGTAACTACATGTAAAGGAATTACGTAATTTAATTACAAAATAAATGTAATTGTAGTCAGTTAGTTACTGAGAAGAAAAATTGTAATTAAATTACAGTTACTTATGACAATGTTAACGATTACAAAGGGGTTTGCATCTGAATTTTCACACACACACACACACACACACACACACATATTTAATTGATTTCTTTCATAAATTGCATTGACTGCTCTAAAATATGAGGCATCAATGTCAGATGATTATTTGAAAACTTGTTATTTCCTATTTGGGTTTATGTATAGGCCTATTTTATTTGATTTTTTATTAACTGTTTTTTCCCCAGGCATAGTTAGATTGTAGTGTTTCCTGTCAGCAATGCAAATATTTGATTTCAAAAACAGTATCATAGCTATTAACCTATTTCTTGTCATGATTTTAAATCTGTATTTAACCTCAGAATGATCTCAAAGTAAGTCTGATTTTGTGGTGGCTGTGTCAATAAATTAAATTATTATAATCTTAATTCAAGTGATGAAGGTCAGACTAATTACAACCCCAATTCCAGAAAAGTTGGGACGTTTTGTGAAATGCCATAAAATCAAGAATATGTTATTTGTTCATTCTCTTTAACCTTTATTTAATTGACTAAAGTACAAATAAAACATTTCCAATGTTTTCACTGGCCAACGTAATTTTATTTTGTAAATATAAACAAATATTGGTTTTGATGGCTGCAACATACTCCAAAAATCGCTGGGACAGTTTATTACTGTGTCACATCAACTTTCCTTTTAATTACAGTGTTTATTTGTTTGGGAATTGACGATACTAATTGTTGTTTTGCAAGCAAAATGTTCATTCAGTCTCGCTTGATACAAGACTTCTGATGCACAGCTGATTCTCCTTTTCATGACTGGCCATACATTTTCAAAAGGAGTTGATGGCAGTTTATGTCTCTGTACAATTTCAGTATATGCCTCCATGTCAATGTTACCTTTGCAAATATGCCAGTCACTCATGCCGTTTGCTCTGCTGCACCCCATACCATGACAGATGTTTGCTTTCGCATCTGTCCCTGGTAAAAGTTTGGATGGTCCCTTTGGTCTTTGGGACTGAGAACTCGACATCCATTTTTCTCAGAAACCAATTGAAACGTGTACTCATTTGACCACAGCACACATTTCCACTGTCTTTTTGACTATCAGAGATGAGCTCTGGCCCAGAGAACCCAGCAGCATCACTGCATAGAATTGATGTATAGTTTTCTCAGATTCAGGTTGCATTATTGATGCAGCAGCAGATGTGTTAAACGACAGCGGTTTTTCGAAGTACTCCTGAGCCCATGTGGCTATATTTAACACCGCAGCATGACGGTTTCGAATCCAATGCCATCTGAGGGCTCAAAGGTCATGCACACTCAGTTGAGGTTTCCTGCCTTGCCCTGCACTGCACAGACTGAGATTTCTCTGGATTCCCTGAATCTTTTCACAATATTGTGTATAGTAGTTGGTGAAATACCTAAATTCTTTGTGATTTGGCATTGAGAAATTTGATTTTTGATTTGTTTGAAACTTCTCTCATGAAATTTGGCACAAAATGATGAGCCATAATCTAGCTTTGCTTGCAAAGAGGAAGACTGAGATGCTCCTTTTATACCCAAACATGACACACTCACCTATTACCAATACACCTGTTACGGGGCTGACAAGACGCGAGACGTGCGGATCCATATGCAAGCTTTTATTTAGAAGACAGAGATGTGGTCATGAAACAGGCATGGGTCAGATAAATGTGGCGGGCAAAACACAAGAATAGTCCTAGGGCTAGCGTAGATCGACAGACAGATTCAAAAGGGACAAGACTAAAAGGATAAATCCAGGAAACCAGGCAAAGATCAAAAACCGACAAGGCAAGACTAGGCCACTAACGAGGGCTCTGTAGTGTAGCTATCAAACTGATAAATGCTTAACAATACTCGGCAGAGGGAAGAGATCAGAGTGAGTGTTAAATAGTGAGGGAGTGATATGAAACAGCTGGGTGCAATCAGTGTTAACAGCTGTGTGCAATCCGTGCTGAGTGCAATCAGTGCAATGAATGATGGGATATGTAGTCCGGGGTGATGTGCAACAGTGTGTAGTGCGAGAGTCAATGAAATTGGAAAGGGTGACCTCTGATGGCTAGCAGATGGAAGTTCATGGACCGGATTCGTGACAACACCTGCTTACTGTGATATTCTGTAATGGATATTCAATAACCTTTTCATTTTTGTTTTGCCTCTGTCCCAAATTTTTTGGAGTGTGTTGCAGCCATCAAAATCAAAATTTGTTTATATTTACAAAATACATTTAAGTTGGTCAGTGAAAACTTTGGAAATCTTTTTCAAATTAAATAAAAGTTAAAGAGAAGTAACCAATCACAGATTCTTGATTTTATTACATTTTACAAAACTTCCCAACTTTTCTGGAATTGGGGGTTGTGGTGTTGAACACTATGTAAGGTTAACCCTGCCTGGTTTAAATGTTTGAATATGACTAACAGTTGAAAACATTAGAAATTTAGAAAAGTAATAAAAAATTAATCAAATGTAATCAGTTCCATTTCTTTAATAAAGTAATTGAAATAGTTACATTACTTATTACATTTTAATTTAGGGTAACTTGTAATCTGTAACCTATTACATTTCCAAAGAAACCTTCCCAACACTGCACATGACCATAGTTATATAGATATTTTAGTGCATAACTGCTAAGAACCTAAATGTGGTTGCACAATGCATAAAAATATGGTTGTGCAATATGCAGCTTGAAAAACCACTAACCTCGCATTTCATGTAGATGACTTTTTTCTTTTTTTGGCTGTGGTTTGTTGTCGGTGCCGGCTAATGCACTGCCAACATGGCAATGCGAAATGCCACTTAAGATGTTCTGAATAAATATTTTAAGTAGCATTAGATATATTTACACAGACTGTTTAATGCAGATCAAGGGTAGCATGAACGCACTCAAAACAATTATAATTTCATAAATAATGTTATGAAATTAATGTTTTAAATATAAAATTTTGAACATAGGAATATGAAAGAAATATGGGGG